GGGAGAAGGCTGGCTGCTCCTTTCGGCTTCACGGGATTCGTTTCCACGGTGTGCAAAAGTGCCTCAGCCGCGAGCAGCCGCAGTGCTTCCCAATTACTATTTGCCGGCGTATAAGACGACCCGGCATATAAGACGACCCCCCCAATTGGAGGCATGTTTTTCAGGGCAAAAAAGTCATCTTATACGCCGGCAAATACGGTAATCTTTCCCCCCCACCAAAGAATAAAAAATGCAAATAAAATTGACAGTTCCTTTCCGTTCGCCGCTATCCTTAACTTTTCTGTCTTCTGTCTTTCTTTAATAATTCTTTTATTTGGTGACACACCATCTTTCTTTTCCTCTTCCGTTCCGAGGCTGACTCAACTTCTTAGCAGCTCGTGATATATGGCCGCTTCCCACCACTGCTGGACTGTAGAGCTTTCCTGGATCTATCAGAGACTTTGCAATGTCCCTGGGATTGACAGGATGTGCTCCTTCCACTTACTGTCTCACCAGAACAGTTCAGATCCACTGGGACTGTCTAGCTGCTGGGGTATTGGCGGCTTTCTCAGAGCCCCAAGAAAACTGTCTTTTCGCTGCCGCTCAAGCCCCGCCCTCCTCAAGTTCAGAAGTAATTGTTAATTGATTGCATGATTCAAACATCTCTCAAATGAAATATGTGTCTCAGGATAATGTTGCAGGATCCAATCTGAGTCAGTCACCAGGACCAGAAGTTTAGTTTTCCAAGCTTTTGGACTCTGGCTGGAGCCCATTCTCAGGGAACTTATCTCTCATCAGAGTGTATCAAGGGAGAAGTTCCTTGAAGATGGACTCCAGCACAAGTCTAAAATTTGGAAGATTAAATCTCTTGTCCTGGTGACTGACCCCAAAAATATTATCTTTGATCATCCAATTTTAGCTATATTAATACAGTGTTGTGTGAACTCAGAAAAATGATCTTGAATAAACCCAAAATTAAAAATTACTCATGCTATATATAGATAATGGCTCCTTGTAATGTTTTACCAAATCATAATTCCTAACAGCCATCACACCATTCTTGGTAGCAGGGACTTACAATTCAGAAATATCTGAAAGTCAACAACTTCCCTACCCAAGTCTTAAAAACTAGGGGACCTCTTCAAAAAAAGTTGCTTATACTTGTAGAAAGCTAGCACCCACCTTTCTCCTAGAAGAATTAAATATTCTAGGAAATATTAAAAAGGCAGAATATTATACTTCCCTAGATGAGAAAAAAAGAAACATGCTCTTGAAAAGCAGCCCCCACCTTGTTAATAGCCCCAGAAAGACAGCCATCCTATCTACAAGACCAAAGAAGTTTAGCTCCAGGGTAATGGGATTAGTCCTCACTCAGGTCCAAGCCATTCAACCATAATAGGAATTGCCGAAACCCTCTTCATTACATCACTCAGCAAGATTCAACCAAGCTTGGGACTCAAGACAACCTGCAAAGTTACCCTGCATGGTTCCATAGGAGTCTGGTAACCAATCAGGGTAGATTTCTTGCCACAGGAAGAGGAAGCAAGTTCGAAGCTCAACAGAGGGTATAAATCTCTCCCTCTCTCACCCATGTGCTCCTTTTTGCCCAGGACCTCAATGTGGTCCTGTCCACCATTAAACCATCTTTCCAAGCAATCTCCATGTTTCCAGTGTCTTTTTTCCCACTTGGAACTGAACCCAGATGGACATTTCTTCCAATACACTCCTCTCATTTGTATGAGTTCGGTGGAAGGATCTCTCCCTACTTTTTAGGAAAACTTTCAGAATTGGCTGGGGGCAAGTACCTCTTGATGTGCCCTAATTGTGGCTTTTGTTCTTGTTGACTTTTTCACTGTGGTTTGATGTGATTTTTGCATTCATTATTGTAAGCTGCCCAGAGTAGCATTTCTGCTACTCTGATGTACAAATCTATCACATCCAATCAGTCCAACCCAAAACCGGCCGTAAGTCCACATCCATTCCCTACATGCAGTGCACACCTACCGCCAATGGCAATCAGCTGTGTGCCTAGTGAAGTAACTGCCCTCTGCAAAAGCTTCAGGGCCATCTTGAGTCCTTTAAACCTGTCTGGCGCCCACCAATCTTACGGGCAGGGCCGCCGAGAGGATTATTAAGTGCTGGAACAAGACTAATATGGGCCCCCCACCTACACATGGACACATAAATCAATGTCGTAATTGTACATTTATTAATTACATTCAAACAGACTCGCAAATATATTAAAAAGAGGACAAGTACTTCTGTAAAAGATAATAAAGCAGTAATACACGTTAGTGTATTCGCCAGGAAGAGTCCGTGGCCACCACAGGAGGAGGGAGAGAAGCGTCGTCCTCTGCTCTCGTTTTGTTTCCAGGTGGCTGCCTCACGCCACCACCCGGACTCCCGGGCTCTGTCTCCGTAAAGCCGGCGGGGACGGAAAGATGAACTCTGCCTTCGCCGGGAGAATCTTGAACACTGCGACTCTGAACGTTGGAACGGCTGGGCGAGACAGTGAGAAAAACCCCCGGCGAGGCCTCTTTCCGCCCAGAGCTGGCATCCGGACGCCTCCTTCACTCTTTTCCCGGCTGGGGGAGGCCCATCGAGGATTTCCCGGACACCCCACTTAGTCTCCTGCTCTGAACATCCCCTCCATTCACAGACTGGGCTCGTAGGCACCTCTCCTGTGGCGTGTTACGCCTGAATCTATCGAAACGTGGTTTGGTTTTGGATTGCACTCTCGGTTTGTCATGTGATGCCGGCGGTATCTTCTGTCCCGACCCCCGCGAGGCCCTCCTGCTCTGCTCTCACAGCCAAGCTGGGGGTGGGGCGCAGCTGCTTAGCAAAAAGAGTCCCTCGCGGCTCAGAGTTGCCTTCGTGCCCTTCCTGCCAACTTGCTCGATGCCTCTCCTCTGAGCAGCTGGGCGCAAACTGCCTTTTCTGTTTGTCGCCTTCCCAGTTGGCCACGTCTTCTGGGCGGGTCCGCGGCAGAGTTCCAGGGCCGGACAATCAGACTGCTGCTCGGCAGTGAAAGGCGCGTATAGAGTATGAAGTATATATACAATATTGTTTTTCTTTTTTAAATTCCCCTTCATGGGTCCCCTTTGAGCTCCATGCAACAATGTACCGACTGCACCCCCCTCTTCTACAAGCACTAAGAGAATCGAATGTGGGGGGGGGGACTTCTTTTACTTAACCACATTTAACTGCTTTGTTTCGGCTATTGTATTATTCTTCGGAGCCCTTTAATAGCTTCAGGGAAGGAGGCGCCTGATACAGTTGGATTTGCATCGATGTCAAGGAGACACAGAGCCACTCTGTGACAGCACCGCCGCCGCTTTAATAACAGCAGTTGCGGCGGCAGTAAGGGGGCGAGGAAGATTTACTTCCCTCTTTCGCGAACGGAGAAGCGGTTCCTTCTTTCTGGCGCAGCCCCGCGGTGAGGAGCTAAAGGGTCACACCACCGCAGGGGCGGCGCAGTGGAATCTAGGCTACTGGACCAGTTTGGCGGCGGCCCCTCGGCTCCCCAAAGCGCAGAGGCAGGATCAGATTCCTCTCCTCTGAATTGGCAAGTCGTGCTCAGCCAACATGGATCCTGGCTCCAAGAGGTCCGCGGCAGAGGAAGGGAGTCCGCTGCAGCCCCAGGAAGAAGAAGTGGACCCCAGGATTCAAGTAAGCGGAGTCTCCGATCGCTCTACCCGAGATCCTTGGAAGAGTAGCCCCAGAGGCGCGATTGCAGTCGAAAGTGGGTGGGATGATAGGATCGGGGCGCGAACAGATCTGTAATTACAAAGTAAGCGCGTGTTTTACGTCCTTGGTTAGGTTCTTTGAATCTTCGTGAATATCGCCTTTTCTCCCTCTAGGGGCGTTTTCCTATCTGTTGTACCTTGGTATTTTGATGGTGGTGGGTTTCCCTCCTCTTTTTGGCTTTATTTGATTTCCGCCGAAGTCTTTTTGTAGCTGGCTGGAGAAACTCATTGGAAAGAAAAGATGCTCCCGTTTCTAAAGGGGCATTTTCTTTCATGAGCTGGATCCTTCCTCTCCCAGCTTGCTCCTGTTTCCTGGATTCAACTCCTCTCCGCAATCCGTGTTTATCTTTACAGGTTCTTTTAGCATGGCGGAGCAACGCGAACCGGGAGGTGGGTCGAAAAGAAGATGGGAGACCACCAAGGGATGCCGTGCCTAGGTTAGAAGGACCCTAAAAGGCTGGGGGCGAGTTAGAAAGGATTGGAAAACCCCTTGTGGGGTAATTTAATCCACGTGCAGGATCTTCCTGTAGTTCTATTAAAAAGCAGTACCTCATCATTGTTAATAGATGATGCCAGCTCCTGCTCTAAATGTCACCCTGACATGAAGAAAGTTTCAGTCTCTGGATGTCCTCAATAAACTCTGATGTGTTGTTGTAGTTCAGGTCTTCCCTAAGCTGGTCTGCAGATCTCAGGTTACAGCTGACCTTGAAAAGTGGGTTTGTGCTTGGATGGAAAACAACTGTGAAATATCAAGGCCATAAAGATGCACACACACAAAATCATCCTGGAAAAAGGAGGGTGGCAAATCAGTTTCATATTATTGCCAATAAAAGTTTATGTGTGATAGTTTGACTTGAAGGAAGGACATCTTTACCAGAGCCAGAAGGCTGTTGGCAGGACCTCTTAATAGATGCAGATTTAACGTAACTTGAAGGATCAGGTTGGGAAGGTAAAGACTGATGCCACTCTGACAGAATACATAGGAAGGGATATTATATATTCTTTCTATGGCACAAGTGGATTCATTCAATGATGCCAGTGTCTCAATCTTAGTTTCATTTTGCTGGAAGTGGTTTGTAATTATTCTGGGGTTTTGTGATTTTTTAAAAAAATGTGTTTGCTTTCCTCCTTAATCTATTCCTTAAGCTTGTAGAAAGTTAGCATCCACCTCTCTCCAAGAAGAATGAAATATTCTAGGAAATATTAAAAAGGCAGAATATTATATTTCCCTAGATGAGAAAAGGAGAAACATGTTTTTAAAGACAAAGCAGCTTCCTGCAGTTCCCTTTCCCCCATCAGCTCCAAGGTGATGGGATTAAGACATGGCTCTCAAGACATGATAGTATTAGTTCTCTACCCCAGTGGTCTCCAACCAGTGGGCCGGGGACCACTGATAGCCCGCAAGAAAATTTTGGTGTTCCGCAGAGAAACCCCCAAAGCACCCCCCAAAGCAATTAATCCAGGCTGACAGGAAAACAAGGCTGCGCCGCCCACATGGCCCATGGGAACACAAGGCTTGCATCACATTGCAAACAACACGGGGTAGTGAGGGAAGGGGGGAAAGGACAGAGGGGGGAACTTGCCCCACTCGCGCCATGTGCCTCGCCTGGCCACCAGGCTGCTTCTTTTCGCTTCTTTCTTCTGCTTTTGGCTGCATGCAAGGAAAGCAGCAAAAGTCTTTCTTTCTCTGCCCCAAACTCCACCAGAAATGAGTATTTGGGATTCTGCAAGGCATCCTGCTCTAAGAGGCTGCACCGTTCTGGTGGAGTTTGGGGAAGAGAAAGAAAGACTTCTGCTGCTTTCATTTCGTGAAGCAAAAAGTCTCTCTCTCTCTCTCTCTCTCTCTCTCTCTCTCTCTCTCTCTCTC